AGATAGATAGATAGATAGATAGATAGATAGATATAGATATATCTATCTATCTATCTATCTATCTATCTCCTCCCTAAACTGAAAGGGTATCAGGAATGATGCCTACTTACATGTATAAACTAAACACTGCTGGTATATACAAGTTGCATATTATCATTATCTGCAGCAGCCTTTCAGTCAGATGTAAAAACTCTTTGAGTTTGCAATTTCATCCAAACTTTCTCCATTAATGGCACCAAGTCATGGGTTGCCCACCTGTTAACAATAATTCCTATTTATTCACATGGATCAGCTGCTTGTTCATGCTCCAACCTAACTAGGAGTCACATTAGATCATTCCCTCACCTCTAAACATCACATTAGGGAGCTCAGCAGTAAAGTGTCTTCATGGAGGGTTTAGCCAGCATGACAAGGGGTGTCAACTTCAAAGTGCTCAGAACCGCTGCACTTGCAATGGTATATGCCCCAGAAGAATATTGTGCACCTGTATGGTCCAGAAGTTGTCACTCTAAAAAGCTTGACACTGTACTTAGTGCACTGAGACTCATAAGAGGCTGGACAGCTTACACACACACAGATGTACTTGCTGTACTTTTGGGCATTACACCAAGTGATTTAAGACAGACCCTAATATCATTACTGGCAAAAGAGGCAAGAGGTGATAAATATCACCTGTTCCATCAACTATTAGCTGAAGATCTGAATAGATGGAGGCTTAAGAGGCTCAAAAGTCACAAACCATTTGTGCTTGAAGCCCACAACCTGCTGGAAGACATTAGGGATAGTCGGCCAAACCTATGGGCAGCAATGGAGTGGGTTGACAGCTGCAAAAGGTTCGGCCTATTCCCATAGCATTTTATAGCAACACCAAATAAGTCCTGCATTGGGCACGACTTTGACAGCAGTGTAGGCCAAGCTCAACATTCTGAGATCTGGATACGGATGCTTCAAAACAACACTTCACAAGATGAACATCTCAGACAGCTCCCTGTGTGAATGCAGCGTCCAGCAAACAGCACTTAATTGAAAGCTACCATCTTTACGAAAAGCCCAGATGGAGCAGATGGAATCCGCTCATTGAGCGATAAAACCAGACAGTGTGGCTCATAGATTTGGAAATTGATATCTGACACTGTACAAAAGAGAAAGAGAGCTGCTTGTGGACATCAGAAAAAGAAAACATGAACATCAACATTGAATTGCAGAGAAAAGAACCTCCCCAAACTGCTTCCAGCCTTCATAGCACAGCCATTTGGCACAACCGTAGAAAGACTGTCTGGTATTTTTGGCCAAACACCTAGATTCAACAAGTGGATTGCTTTGTAGAACTACGGGCTTGTTCCAGCCAGTCAAGTTCAATGGGATCTGAGTCTTGTTCAAAGCTTCTGCAGTGCAAAAGGACTGACAATATTATGCTAAAAATGTGCCCCCTGAGAGGACCCTTCTGAATGCCCATGAGCAGTAGTGGAATGATCTCCCCAGTTTCCACTCCAGTTATTTGTACAATAGACAGAACAGAAAGAAAAGGGTGATAGGAAGCAATACAATTCCTCTTAATAGAAAAGCCTCTATTTAGTAGCACCATTCAAAAAATGATAGCAACCAAAACTTTTACAACGCTTACCAAGCCATACAAATAAGAATACTTACATGGATATAGCTCAATGTGTAGTGTTTGTTCTTCTTTGGGTAGATAAATGTTGACTTCTTTGTATCTTACAAATATCCCAAATAAAGCAATGAGGATCACCTCCAGAATAATCGCCAGGACAGAAAATTTGAACCTCATGTTGGTGGAAAAGCTTGACGAAGGCATCGGGAATTAGCTGAAGGCTGCGAGGGCTTGATAAAGAGAGTGGTCTGCTGTTTGCCTTCAATGGGGCAGCATCATTCAGTGGAGCTGAATGATATAGCAAAAAAAAAAAAGAAAGAAAAAAAAATTAAGAAGAGAGCACGCCCACCCAATGGCCCCACCCACCAAGGGAGGGGAATGGCATAGGTCAGTGAGCCAGTTCCCAATCCACAAGCTGTTTCTGTGATTAAAATGCTGCTAAATGCTAGTTTGGTGACATATGTGCTTCATATACTTTGTAATGCAAAGTTTCTTTCCTTGTCATAGATAATGGCTTTCTTACAGTATGTATTTGGGGGGAGGGGGTGGGAATAGCTCTCTGAAAAAAATACCTGCACTGAGTAATCTGGTGCACGCAGCTTTAAACTCTGACACAAGCAAAATGAATTAAAATTGGTTCCCTACAGGTGGTATAGCTACTAGCTGCAAAAGGCAACTCAGACTGACCTTACACCATCAAGTTGTTCCTGAGAGGCAGCTGGAGACTTAGTGAGTCAAGGAGCTCTGCCCAGTGCCCGTGTCTCCTCTTTAAAAAGGGTGCTGGTAAACTGGAAGGTTCAAAATAATCTCGCAAGTATGATTCAAAATTGGGAAAACACACTTGACAATGAGAGATTTAAAGACCTTGAAGCATAGGTAAAAAGGGGGCTTAATCTATAAGTACGTGTAAAGAGAGAGGATATGGCAGGGGAATCTCTTTTGTCTTGGGGAACCTTGTCCTATGTGTATATAGGAGTGTGGAGGGCAGGAGGGACATCAAAGGAAAATCTTCAGTTTCTCAGATGCCAGTATGGCAATCAGATGCCAGTATGCCCAGCATGCCCATCAGATTGTCCTTCTGCAGAAGGGAAAACTTGCTGTATAAACACAACTCATCTGTACATGCATGTGTCTGCATGCTGCCCTTTCCTTAGATAAATGTCACAATCTGAATCCAATATCCTTGCTGTATCCAGCTTGCAGTCTGTGCCTAGGGTAAAGTGATCCTAGCCATTAAGTCTAAGCCTGGAGAATTAATCAGTGACTTTGGAATTGAAAATAAAGGGGCTAAAGAAAAAAGACCTAAGGATGAATCACAGAGCTATGCTTTAATATGGCAAAGCTAGAGTGAAGACATTCATACATTTACATTTTTTTTTTTATGGCTGCATTTAACTATAATGCAACAAAGAGCAGGGGTTGAACATTTCTGAGTACCTGCTGGTCATTATGGTTGGGGCACAGAGGTAAAGGTAGAAGCTTCAGTGCCTTGCTGTAAGAAACAGTAAGGCTACAAACAGATCCTCCCTCCCTTCCAATCTTAGGATAAGCCATTATATCCCAGGACAAAACACAACTTTTCAGACATTCATGCACATTGTCCCAGGATAAAACCTAAAAAGGTGCATGGGATAAAAAGTACTAACAGTTTACAATATGGGGTTTTCATGCAGGAGCTTTGCATTTATATTCCTAAATTTGTGTTTAAAACAGAAACATTAAAAAAAAATACACACATGTAACACTTCTCCAACCTGAATGATCAGTGAGCCTTAAACTTCGAACAACAGCCACTTTCAGCACTACACACTGCTACCACTTAAAATTCAAGACTAGCAGTGCTATCTACCAGCAGGAGAAGGCTGTTAAGCCAGAAGTTGGAAACAGGTTTGGGGAGGTTTCTGGAGGAAGACCAGCAAGGCCTGGTTCTCTTTTTCTCTCCTAATCTTATAACTGAGGAAGCTCCTGCTTCTTGGGTCATCCTTAGAGATGTCCTAGGTGCCATGTGTTGAGGGTGTGTGCAGATGAAATGCAGATCCTAAATTGAAGTGGTGGGTTTTAAAAAACACCGCTTCAATTTAGGGCTGATTAAACCCCTGTGTTGTACACGCACCTGGCTGACTTTCCTGCCTCTCTGACAGGAAGGGGAGGGTGAGCTGCCAATGGGTGGAGTGGTCACTGGGTTGCGAGGGGGTGGTGGGGAGGGAAGATCAGGTTTGCCACTTTTCTTGGACAGATCCTGCTTTCCTGGGCTGCTGCCAGGCTGCCTGCAGGGCTTCCTACAGAGCTGTGGAGCTGCATGGAGCCGGGTGCCTCACTCCACAGCTGTTCAGGCAGCAAAGTAAAACTCCTTTAAGGGGGTTTAGTTTGCTGCGCCCCAAGTCATTTAAGGTGCATTACACCGCCAAATTTCCTACAGTGACTGGAATTAATGTGCAATAAATCGCCGAGATGTGCAAACACTGACACCATTAAAGTGGTGCAAAGACATGTAGCCTTAAAGTGTCTCGTTTCATCTACACATGGCCTACAGCAGTGGAGGGGACAAACTTTTTGGCAGAAGTGCCACAAATTAGCCCCACCCCCCGCCAGAGTGTCATTCTGATCCCCTTCTCTGTCCAATCTGCTTCTCTGCTTCCTGATCCTTACTTTCTACACCCGATCCAATCAACTCCTCTGCTTCCTGCTCCCTTCCCTATGCTCCCTGCATGGGTTACTGTTCTGCTTTCTGCTTCCTGCCCTATTGGACACTGTGCTTCCTGTTTGCTACCTGATTTGCTGGATGCCACATACCTAGCCTAGAGGCTGCTTTGGGGAAACAACAGGCCTGTTATTTTCTTTTTCTTCACCCTTCCCCTCCAAAGGAAAGAAAGAAGATGAGTGGCCATGGTGTCTATTAGGCCTGCGTGAAGCGGCTAGTATTTGTTCAGATTTGGATTAAGCTGGTTCGGGGGACAGTGATTTGATTCAGTGATTCAAAGCATTGTCCTGAATTGATTCGGGTGAATCTGATTCAGAGATTTGATCACCGCTGAATCATCCAAATCTCAGAATAAGCCCTATCCCCCGCCCACTCTCAATGGCTGCTCCGCCTGCTCTCCCAGCTCCCGTCTCTTAAAAAAAAAAAAAGCCCCCACTCACCAGCTGATGCCAGGCAGGGGTGGAGGGGGGGAATCCCCGCTGCCCCCCGTTGCCCCACATGACATGGGGCCCCAAGACTGCTGGAGAAGCCTGGGAATGGGGGCTTTTTTTTTTTTTTAAAGAACTGGGAACTGGGGAGGGGCAGCCATGGTGGGGGGAGGGGACTGGGAAAGTGGGCAGGGGTCAGGGGGCTTGTGGCAGAGCACCCTACACAGCATGGGGCAGTGGGGGGCAGTGGGGATTGCCTCCTTGCTGGGCAGTAGCTAGTAAGTAGAGGCTTTTTTTTAAAGAGGAGTTGGGGCTGGGCAGGGCAGCCATGGGTGGGTTTCTGGGAGAGCGGGTGAGGGTTGGGGAGTGCTCAGGGGGGCTGGGGGAGCAGGCAGGAGATGGGGCCTGGCAGGGGTCCCCCCATGGTCTCCTCTCCCCTCCTCCAGCCTCCCCTTCCCTGCCCCCTACTTACCAGCGTGGTGTCCGGGTCCAGCTCCCTGCTGCAGTGAGCAGAGACTACCCAAATCACAAAAGCTCTTTGAATCTTTTCTGAATCAATTTGGAGAACTTTGAATCAATTCAGACATTTTAATTGTTCTCCTGATTCAATTCAGATTCAGAGATTTGGCCACAGAATCGGGCCAAATCTCCTCCAAATCAAATCAGCACCCAAAGCTTTGCACAGCCCTAGTGTTTATGCACTGAGTCTGGGGAATATAGATGTTGTACGAGCTCAGGTTGGACCTTTCCTTTCCTTTCCTTTCCCTGCTAGTGCTGCTCTGGATGAATTATCTTCTGCTAAGGATTTACTGGTGGCCTTGGCTCAGTCAGTGATATTGTCAGGTTGCCCTTCTTTTCCTAAGGAGCACAAGAGATGGGAAATGGTGTTTTTAACTATTTATGACTCATCCAAACCTGAATGTCATTTTAGAGAGCAATGAGGAGGCAATTCTATAGCCTGAAGGGATTCCCTCTGTTGAATATCAAAGCACAGATGCAGCCTTATCAAATAGCTTCTGAAAGAAAAGGTTGAAAGGACTGTATACAGGGAAAGTGAGAGAGAGACAAAATATAGGGAGCAATATCACCTCCTCCCTGAAAAGGGGGAAGAGGGCCACAGGATCGTGGGTTATGCATATTTCCTTAATGCTTTTTTCCACATGCATCAGTGTTTACATTGGGAGTGAGAGTGACACATAAGTCATGTCTCCTCCTTTTTAAATTAATGCACATGGGGTCAATTAATGAGGTTACAGGATATCTTGATGTGTATGAATATTATTTTTAGTTTGGTGAAAAGGAGTTTAAGCAAGGCATGGGACACGATAGCTGTTTTAAGGTATTTGAAAGGCTGCCATAAAGAAGGAAAGCAACTCTTCTTCCTTGCCACAGAGGGTAGGAAAAAAGGTAATGTGTTTAAGTGGTGGCAGTGCAGATTTATATTACATGTCAGGAAAAAAACAATCCTTTCTGTCAGAGCATTAGGAAACTGCAACAAGCTGGCCAAGAAAATCATGAGATCTCTTTCACTGGAGGTTTTGAAAAAGAGGTTGGACATTTGTCTGGCATGGTATAGAAATACTAGTTGCTGCATTTTTTCAAGGGGTTGGGCTAAGTGACCCTTGAGGTCCCTTCCAAACATTACTTTATGATAAAGCCTACAATTCAAGACAGCACGCCACTACATGTTTGATAGCAACAAGATAAAAGCATATATTTAAATGTTTTCCTGAATCAGAACGTAACTTATTACTTGATCTGTTTGGCTCTTAGAAACTAATGCAGACATGGGAACTGGAACTATAAAGTGAAGTTCATTTTTCAAGAAACAAATAAAGCATTCCTGATATGATTTCCAGTAAGAGACTAGCCCACTGTCAATTCAATGGAAAGATTCCCCCTGACATCAGGCCCTATGTGAATAATCCAAAGTACAAAGCATTTGCGTATGAATTTCCTTTTTTTCCTGTAATTGTTCTATTGTGCTTGGGAGAAAATCAGAATTTTTCAGAAGATTTCATGTAGGGTGACTCGGCTGATCAGGAGTGAAGATGAAGACTGGATTGGTACCAGGACATCATTATAGAACTTTTAAATAACTCAGATTCTTTTATATTTGGGGTCCAGAGGGGCCATTATG